CCGCGTAGGGTGGCTGCTGCCTGCAGTGTCTTGGCCAAGCTAATTTTCTACCTCCCAGGCGAGGACTTTCCTTCCTGGAGATTGTTCTGTTACTTTATATCATCCCCGCTGGCTAGAGAGGTATTGGGTTCAGTGAAAGGAAACGCTTCTTGATAGCCACACAGCATCATCTCCCTACGTAGCTCCTAGGTCTATTTGCACACACCAGGCTACATCACTTTCCTGCAGGCAGGAGAAACCCTGGCCCCACTGAAACCAATGGAAAATTCCCACTGGTTTCTGCAGAACAACGATTTCAAAAGTAGGATACTAATTTCTTTTATCTATACGGGCATTATTATGTAATTTTGGCTAAGTACATATATTCATATATAAAAAACTCCTTTCAGCTATACATTCAGGGCTCTTGTTTTTCCCATCAATCAACTCCCCTAGCTTCTGAAACATTTCACCTAATTTTTTGTTGGCTGCTTTTAACTAGATACTGTTTTACCAGAAAGCGAACTACCAAATGCGCATGATGTTCCGGCCCTGGTTTCCACACTCCTGGCACATTCTCCCAGTGCCACACCTCAATACATCCTCACCTGCCATCCCCGGTGCCTCTCCTCTCATCTGCCCTCTGGCTCTGCAAAGCCAGGGCACACCTACCCTCTACCATCACCCCCAGGCCTTTACCTCTTTACCTTCCTTAGGATCCTCTCTGTCCTTCGATGTCAGACTCTTTCCATCACCTCTATGAATTCTGGCTTGGGTTTTCACTTTTAGACTTCTTATTTTTGGCCTGTCATTTAAATTTATTTTGAGTCATTGTTATTATCGAGCCAACATTTATAAATAGCTCTATGCATTGCAGGTATGCGATAATCAAGTCCTTTGATTTTTGAGCAATTTGGTTACTAAATGATAGCAATAAAAAGCATGCAAGCATCATAGGCATTAGCCCAGGAAATGTTTCCACCATTAAAGCTTTCAGGAGGCAGATGCTGAATCTGGTAAAAATTTATGATTATTAATAATGAGTGTTAAGCTTTACCTTTACAATACTAAATGGTGAGGAGTCATAACAGCTAGGGGTAGTATTGGGGGGGGAGGAGAGGGGCGGTTTTCAGAAAAATACTACTCTTTTAAAAAGAAAAGAAAAAAATCCTTTTGTGTATGTAAAGATACTATTGATTTAAAAAAAAAAAAAAAAAACAAAACATAAAAATTTAGTTGTATTACTCCTAGTGTAGTGTAAAAACCCATAGAAAAAGGCTAGTTAGCTTATTCTTACAGCTGTAAAGTATGTTCATACCTGTGTGAATGTATAGGTATTACTGTTTTCAGTTTCCTTAAGAAAACCGTACAAACATTAGAAGCCACCTAAACTGACATGAAAGGCAATAACCTGTAATGGGAAGAAATCTTACACTCCCCTCAAAATTAGATGTAGTCTTAAAAGTGGAAAGCAAGCAGAACTGATCCCAAGAAAAGGCATCTGCATAACTGCACATATGTACATGCAACAGTGTATGCATTTATTTTAGGCAAATTTGCAGGCAGCAAGAGAAATCACCACACCAGTCATAAACATGCACTGCAACTGCACGGTCCCTGCTGAGGGGAGTGGGAGTGGTGCCTCTGTCAGGCCTGGGAGAGTGGGGCTTTTCATGTGATGTTGTAGCCTCCCTTCAGAGAGATGCGTGTGCATGTGTGCATGTGTGCATATTCACTCCATTCAGAGATATGTGTGTTTATATATACATAAGGGCTATAGGCTTAAATGTTTGTGGAAGGAGCACCCGAAATCAAACAGCACTCCTCATCACTTAGCTCAGGGTATTTCTAAGCAGATGCAGGCAGGGCAGGGCAAGAGGGACCCAAGCTACTCTTCCTTCTCCCGCTCCCGCCATGGGGCATGACGTGCCCGTGGTGCTTGGGACCACAGCCCTTTCGGCAGTCCCCCGCTCTGGGAAGGCCCGAGCAGTCGCCGTCTCCCCAGCGTGGAGCAGGGGGGAGCAGCCAGCCCCCCAGGGGGCCGTGGGGGGGCCCTGCAGCACCCTGCTCTGCGCCAGGGCAGCTGCCACTCCTGCGTCGCTCCTCCATCAATCGGCTACACTGCTACGGGGGCCCTGGTGCGACAAAGACTTACCTATGGGAGCAGCCTTTGAGGCTACTCCAGCGGATTAAATTACCCAGAGATATAAATCTTCATAGGATTATGGCCTTTAAAAAAAGGCTAAGTTCAAGTAATTATTTTTGGGCTAATTCTTTATTTAATTTTCTACCAGGATGCAGATTACAAAAACAATGTGAGAACAGAAATTTAGTATTCTAAATTAATTAAACATGCACTCGCCAAAATAACTGTTAACACACGGTTGGTGCTGCCACAAACCTCATTCTAAGATGTTGTCTTAGAAAATACTCATACTGGTACAATTAAACCCCCTTATTTATAAAGTAATTTCTCATTATGTTGCACTATAGCCTTTTAGTATAATTTTTGCTGTTAATAAAATATCATTAGACTATTAGAGGCAGGAGGTTTGTAGACTCATTTTTTAGCACACAGGATTCGCAATTTCTGAAGCAAAAAAAATAGGAAGTGTAGTGTTGTAAAAATCCTTTTCACTAGGGGTCTAATCTTTCCCACAGTGAAATCAATTGAGGCTTTGCTATTGCATTGAATGATAGGATTTGGCCCAAAATATTTTGGATTTAACATGAGCAACCTTGCTGCCCTGAGCAGTCCCATGGAAGCTACGTGCATTCCCAGGATCAGGCCCACAGTATAAATAGTCTGAGAGATCTGTTGTTCAGAAACAACCGCTTCTGTCCTTCAATATATATGCGTGACAGACCCCAGGAACTGCTAATGAACGGGGAGAGACACTTGGAGATCGTGCTATTGGGAAACATCATCCTAAGAGCCCTTATGCTATTGAGCCTTTACACAATATTTTATAATTATTTTGGTGAGCATACCCAGTACTTCGCTGATCAGACCTTACAGTTTCACTCTTTTAACCCACATAACATAGCAATTCCCAACAGATTTTAGAGAAATCTACAATCATCGAAACGTTAATTTTGACAATGACAAAGAGTACATGCATTAAAAATGCATCAGCCCTGTCATTAAGGCATTATTCAGCAAAAACAGCTCATTGTGCTAAACAGAAAGCAACTAGAAGAAACCAGGTATAGAGAAACATTTTGCTAAGTTTGTATTTGGGTACCAGTCCAATCCATACTACACAAGATACTCAACCAAGCAAAGAGCAAACAAACCCACATCCTTTATGTGATGAAATGGGAACCCCTGATAATACTCTAAGTCATGACTCAAGGGAAAATGTCAGCTAAAAGCTCAGATCAGAGGAAGGTTTGTAATACAAACCTGGATGTTTAAAATAATGTTTCCATCGCTGTTCCTGCAGCACTTGTGAACGTGCCTGTGTTACAGTGCTGAACTGACTATGGTTTAGCAGCTGATTGTGTCTTTTTAAAGCATAATTTAACATTATTTCTGAGGCTGTTGAACATACTAAACTACAAGAAAAAGATCTGCTTTCAAGTGGTATTAAAGAAACACGAGGATCAGAGTGCTAACATCAAAGATGTGTCTAAAGAATAACAGATCCACACGTCTGTGTAACAATGAGCGCTCCACTCACTACTGAAGGCAACAGAGTAAGATTCCTTTGGCAGTTGTTGGAAATAATTAAGCAGAGCATAGATGGCCTTTCAATCGCTAAGCAAGAGACAAAGACATTCTCCACCATCCCACCTCGCACTCACAACTTAATGAACAACCCATGTTTGGCTCATCCATGTTAAAAATCGTTCTCAGCCTCATCATAGCTGAGCTTGGAGAAGGATCCATTCAGAAAGGCTATCTCATCACAGTACTCTTGGTCTTGCTTTAAAATGGCTTCTGATCTAATTCACCTAAGGCTGAAATCTGGTCTCAAAACTGCGACTACGTGGCAACAAGACCTGGGATCATCTGGGCATGTGGAGAGGTCTTGAATGGGGAAACACAGGGATCGCTCACACCCCACTCGTGTCTCTGGCAGTGTTGGGAGCAGAGGACCAGAGGGAATTTCCTAACCACAGCATCCTAACCTGGATTTTCCTAACCACAGCATCCAAAAGGCTGATAAGGCTTTTAACCAAAGCCCATGCCCTGCTGCTGAGATGGGAGAGAGGGACGGAGGCACCTCTTCTTCTGCTTTAAAGAGATGGGGCATGGCTTGGCCAGTGACGGGAATCAACACTCCCTTGGTTGTGTCTCCTGTCTATCCAGCTGCAAGTAGCATTTGGGGAGTCCTGAGCTCTTGGAGGGGCACAAAGAAGCCACCTCCTGAGAGCCAGGGGGGGAAACAACCCTTCGGCCCTGGCCCTGAGCATGTACCTCAGCGTGGGGCCTCAGAGGCTGACAAGCTCTGCATTCTGCGGGGCGCTTCCCGACCTGCTGAGCCGGGGCTGGTGTGCAGGCGGGTTCGTAGTCCTGCCCTCGCCGCGTTGGTACTGTGGGGTGGCGATAAGAGGGCAGGGGGATATCACCCCCTCGAAGCGATCGGCCACAACCTGCTCCCCAGCAGCGGCCCCGCCGGGTGGCCGGGCGCCTCGGCACCCGGGGAACAGGGGCTTCCCCGGGGGGGGGGGCGCACCCCCGGCCGGGCCGGACTCCCCACGCCTCGCTGGCACGGGTGCTCGGCACCCGCTCCGCCCGCGGGCGGGCCCCCACCTCCGCACGGCGCGACTGCCGTGGGCGCGGGGGCCGCAACCGCGGAGGGGGCGGCATTCAGGGCTCCGCCCCGGCCCTGCGGGCAGCCCCGTGTCCCGGGGTTGGGTCCCCCCTCCGACAGGCGGGGCCGCGGCCGCCCCGGCCCCCCTCATCCCCGCCCCGCGCCCCCCCCGCCGGAGAGGGGCGAGGGGCCGCCGGGCGCGGCGGGGGGGCTGCCGGGGCCCCGGGGTCCCCGGCCGGGGCCAGCCCCGGCCCCCCGGCCCCGGCGCAGCCTGCCGAGCGCTGCCCGCGGAGGCGCACTCCGCAGCGGCCCCGGCTCCCCCGGTCACCCCCTGCCCGCACCCCCGCGGCGGGCCAGGGCCAGGGCCAGGGCCAGGGCCAGGGCCAGGGCCGCCCGCGGAGCGCTCCTGCGGGGCCGAGCAAGCCTTTCCCCGGCCCTCCCCAGCCCTGGGCTTAGCTCACACGCACACGCACACACACACGCGCGGGCAGCCCCCTCCGCTGGGGACGGGGCGTCCGAGCTCCCCCCGCCCGGGCAGAGACACAGACAGAGTGAAACATTGCAAAGCGTAGGAAAAGATGGAAAAGGTGCTACCTTGGCAACTAGAGGAGGTTAGGAGCCAGCTGGTGGGCTGGGGGCGGTCGCGCTGCCTGCCTGCCTGCCCGCCGCCGGTACTCTCCTCGACTACGCGTATTCTTAAGCAATAACAACGTAATCCGTATTATCCACCCAAGAATACCCGTCACCGAAGAGAGTCAGAAAGCTGCTGCTGTTGCTGCTGCTGGTGGTGGAAGTGCTGCACCGGGACAATAAATCCATAACTATAATTCCCCTCTAGAAGAAGGAGAATCCACAGGGGTTGCCGAGTGATCTCGTCCCATATCCAATGGACGCCGAACCTTCCCATCCTGCGGAGGCAAAGGAGAGGAGCAGGCGTTTAACACACACGCGTACAGTCCCTCTGCTCCCCCGCTGTCTTACTGGTGCGGGCAAGGTCTTGCAGGCGAGGTGAAAGGAAATAAATCAAAGTAAGGTTGAGTTTACCTGGTGATCGCCTGTTTTCTTCCTCTGTGCTTCTCTGGCATCCTATTCCCTAGCTGTATGCTCCATCAATTCTCTCTGGGAGCTTGCAAGAGATGTCACACGCAGCAACAGATTCCTGTAAAAGAGATGCACGGTTAAGCACACAAACATTACAAATCTGTTTGCATAGGTGGGCTTGGGAGAGCTCCGACAAAGCAGCAGCCACGCCTGAGAGACATTTCATCTGGGCTTTGGAAATGCATTTTACAAGTCCTGACTCACACTGACTCGATGTGCTACCAAGAGGAGGGAGGGCAGAAAGGAAGGCGATGAACAGAAAGAAAAAGCAAAGAACGAAATAGCAAAGGCTCCGAGCTCAGCAGAGGCGCTCTCTCTGTCAGGCCTCCCCAGTGCCGTAAAAATCTAAGGCGAAAAAGGCTTCCAAGTACAAATTTGGCGCACTTGGCTCCCCACGGGTGCCCGGGCGGCAGAGCCCAGGGGCTGCGAGGCGCCGAGCCGAGCCGGGCGGCTCCTCGGCGGCGGGCGGGGGCAGCGGCGGCACCTCCGCACTGGCACCTGCCGCCTCCCCGCAAATGTTTGAAAAAAATGAAAAAAAAAAAAAAAAAAAAAAAAAAAAAAAAAAAGAAGTTATTTCCAAATGGCGCCCGCGGCTCTGCCTGTCACCCGGAGCAAGTTCCCTTATCAGCAGCGCTCGTACTTGGGGGAGGCGGGAGGGGGAAGCTTTGTCTGATGATCTGCCGCGGTGATAATAAACGTTTATTGTTCGCCAACTAAATAGAAAGGATCTCTGCAACGTCATGGCACAGCACACTTCGCCTGGCGATTAGGAAACTTCTTCGGGTTATTTCAGCCCGGCTCCTGGCGCCGAGGACAGGTTCTGTGCGAGCGGCGGGGAGGGGGAATAACGAGCCGCGCACGGTCAGAGCCCACACAGAGCGGGGACTCCGCACTTCTTCAGCCAGGAGTAATTATGCAGCACGCACAGCTCTCATTATCCGCTGCACCCGTAACTGACCAGCTTGTTGATTAGATTTCAATTGAAATTAATACAAGATGCTTGCTTTTTCTACAGATTCCTTCCTTAACATGAGCCCTTGCCTTTCTTCCTTGACTTGTTACCACTATGCTTCCTACATAAACATACGAGAAGACAGCATTTGTTTTGTAACACAGGCTCTTGTCTGAATTTGCAATAAAATAGAAAAACAAAGAGAGAAAGAAAAAAAAAATACTTTGATAGCCACATTACCTTCAATTAGGGAAAAAAAAAAAAAGCCAATTCACTCTCCTCTTTTAATCTCAGTTTAGGTGCGATTTCCTATATTCCTCTAACACAGCAAGCTTTCAAGTTGTATTTTAAATGTCAGATAGAAAGTAAATAACACCGTAATTTTTCCCCGCTGTGAAATTGAAGGCTGTAACCCCATTAGCTGGCGTTGGAACTCGAATAACTGATGCAGTGGGTTTCCTTCAACTTGAACAAAAGCCGTTTGAAAAAGTAAAATGCACCGAGTCGTGGCGAAAACACTCAACAGCGATACACCTAGTCCGATATCCTCCGAAATTTGGAGGCGCTCCACAAATGCATCGGGAATTAGGCAGAAATCCAAACTTCGGGGTGTTGGGTTTTTTTGGTTTGGTTTATGTTTTTTTCTTTTTTTTTTTTTTTAAAAAAAAGAAAATAAAAAATGCGATTCTCGGGGAGAAGAGGACCCGCGCGGCTCCAGCCTTACTCTCGCCGTGTCCATCTGACGCTGCCCTTCCCCACCCGGGAACGCATCCCCCCACTCCCCCGCGCATACAGCGCCCTCCGAAACTTCCCCCGCGCCGCCGCCGCCGCCCCCGCCGCCGCCCGCCGGGCCCTTCAGCACCCGCGGCGCCGGACAGCGCCGAGCACCGCCCGCCGCCGCCGCCGCGCCGCTCCCCGCGGCCGCCCGCCCGCCCGCCCGCGCCCCCGCCCGCCGGCGGCTCCCGGCCCGCCCCGGCCCCGGCCCCGGCCCCGGCCCCGGCCCCGGCCCCTCCCTGCCCGCCCCGACACCGGCGGCACCCGGCGCACCCCCCGCCCCCGGCACGCTGAGCACCGGGGGAGCGAAACCCCCGGCCCGCTGCCGCATCGCACCTTCTTCGCCGCATGCGGGAGGTGCCCGGGGCGGCGCGCCTCGGCGTTAAATACCTTTGTTCACCGGCTCCGGAGAGCCGTGTCTATCGGTGCTGCCGCCCCGCTTTCCCGCCGAAAGAGCCCGGGTGCAGGAGCCCCAGCCCGGCGGGGCCGGGGAAGGGCCCCGGGGGGCACGTCCGCCGCCTCTGCCGTGCCCGGGGAGGGGGGGCGGGGAGGCAGAAGGGAGGGGAGTGGATGGAGGGAATTAAACAATTAAGCTATCAGGAGCGGAGCTCTGAACAGAGCTCGGGTTTGCCATGAAAAGCAAATTTCAGAGGGGGGAATATCGATCCCATCCATCAATAGAGAGGCGCGATGTCTTTCCGTGCGAGAAATTGTTCTGAATTAGGGGGCTCGCTGGTGAAAGGGGGAGGGGGCACGGAGGGGGGGGGGGGGGGGAGAAAGGGAAAAGAAAGAAAGGAGGAAGGCAGAAAAATATTCATTCCCGCTCAAAGGCAGCCTCTTTTTAAAATCGCTGGGAGCTCACTCCATTTGCCACCTACCCGAGTAACCACCAGAAATCCACCTCTATTGAAGCGCTTACCCTTTAAATCCAGGTTTCGAGCAGAACTCCAACTGTGTGTAAAACCAGGGAGTCATCTGATGTGTGATGGGGAATGGGCTCTGGGCAGCAGAAAGCAGCTTTCTCTCCTGGTGCCGGATTACCATGTTAACAAACCCCGGGAAGGGACCCCGGCGCCTCTGGCTGGCCATGTCTCGTTGCTTTCACACATCGGCGGCTGCTCTTGCTTCCCATGTCCCCGGCGATCGCCTCTCAGATGAATGTGGGCTTCCAGAAAAGGAGTCGGGGGGGAGAGGAGGAAAAAAAAAATCGCCTAATGCAATCAAATCGATCTGATCTACACCATCTGTCGCCTGCCACTACACACAAGCGTTAAAATAGGAAAACGGGAGACACTGACAGCTCAGGAAGGTTGTTCTGCAGAGTTCATTTTTAGCAGAGCATAATTGGGTATGGACAGCATACAGTTACCAAAGCTGCTGTTAACCATCCAGTAGAGGATCCCAAACATGCTAATGGTGGATTAATTGAGGAAGATCTGACGTGCAAGCTTCACAGTCTCTTATTCATGACTTCCCAACGGGAAAGGACCAATGCCGTGTGGGACTATGGTAACACAGAGTCAAAGAGCTGCTAAGAAAATGGCTCTGTGTTCATAGCACCTCTCTCTGATAACAAACATATGTCGACCAGAACCGTTTAGCAGGATGGGGGAAATGAAATTTTCTTAGCCGAGGTTAGCAATTCCCATCGCTTGCACTTAAAGACAAGTAAAAAATGGACTGCAGGTCTAAGGCGCTTTTGAGTGCTGGTCTCGGGGTTCACAGCTAGTAAAAGCAGACGGCTCCTGCTCAGATGGGGAGGTTACACCCCAAATCTCTTACTTCTTACTGTGACCAAAGTGCATCCATAGCAAAGCTCTAACCATGCAGCGCTGCTAATTTCATCAGGAATGACGCAAGGTCGTTTTAATGCCAGGAACCCTTTTGACTTTTTCCAGTGGGAATGGCTTTTGGGCAAGACATTTCCGATCACTGAAATTTGACATAATCTCAGATAAATATGATTTGGGGAGGGGGGGAGGAAGGGGGCGGCGAGTTGGGAAGAGATGGAGCGTGCATCCAGACCTGCAGTCACCCCTGCTGCCAACACTCCAATTTGCTCGTGTTTTCTAGCCTTTCCTGAATAATGAGGTTATAGAGACGTACATGTAATTATTAAAGAAGTATATGTACACAAGCCGCAGACGCCTACGGCAGCGGCGTCTACACCCACAGACGGGGAGACAAAGTGCGCCCGTCGGGGTGATCTTTTCCACTCCCTAATAAATCCATCACCAGCGGGAGAAAGGGCTGCTGGAACAAACGGGAGGGGATCTCCTCCCCGGCCCGGCCCGGCCCGGCCCGGCCCATCCCCGGGCGCCGGCCGGGCTGCGCGGGCGCGGGCGGGGGCGGGGGGAGCGAGGCCGGGCGCTGTCCGCCCACCCGGTGCTGAACGGCCCGGCCCGGCCCCGCAGACAATGGCCAGGCGCGACGCGCCCGTCACCGCCGCGCCGGGCCGCTGCCGCCGCCGCCGCCTCCGCCGAAGTCTGACAAGCCGCCCTGACAAGCGCTACAACAATTAGGAAAGCTCCCGTTCGTCTCCACCTCGCCTATCTGATTAGAGGAGAATAATAACGCTAATAATACAAATCCAAGCGGCTGAATGTAAATGTTCCGGTAAACAATTAGTGTTTAGGGTAATTCTGGAGTTAACTGCATGCCTCTCCTGGAAGTTTGTGGTAATCTCTTTAGAATAAATCTAACAGTTATGAATTAGATTAGCCTTGAAAACGTAGCTTAAAGACAAATCAAACAATTCACCCTATCTTTTGTTTCAATATACATTAATTAAGCACTGCTGCCTACCTACACAGCAGTCTTGGGTCCCGGCCACGGTGCCGAGCCAGCGAGCCGCGCCGCCTTTGTTAGCATTTGCGTCCAACTATTGCCCTCTGCAGGTCAGGTCCCCGCCGCTGCCGGCTCCGCGCCCCCCCAGGCCCCTTTTCGAAAAAGATCCAACTTTTGCTGGGTTTTGAGTCTTCACCACGAGGGCTCGGGCGTGTTGCTTTAGGAGGGGCTACGAGCGGGGCGAGCCGGCCCCCGGCAGAGCACGGAGCACGACTCCGGCTCTCCTCAGCCCCCCGTCCAGCCCCAGCCGGGAGAGCAGAAGAGAGAACAAGGCGAGGTGCCGCTCTGAAGACATGTTGTTTTCTTGCTCCCCTCCTCTCCATACGACTATGGGAAGCTTCCTAGGCAAAGCCTGCCCTTTCCCCGGGTTTGCCGAGGAGCAAGGCAAGAACCCAGCACCAGGCAGGGCAAGGCGGGTGCCGGCGCTCAGGATCCCGCCCGTCTCCCCCCGGCCGGGCGGCTCTTTCTCGGGCACGACTTTGAGAGTTCGCCTCTCTCGGTCCCAGGGAAACCTCGGTCCCAGGGAAAAGGAGGCGGACGACGGCGACAGCGGCGAGGCGGCAGCCGCCCCCCCCGAGCCCCGCGGGCGCTGCCCCACCGGGACGCTCTGTGCTCCTGCGGGGCCAGCGGGAACTTCGGGCAGCGCCCGGTGCCGCTCCCGCAGCCACGGTCTGCCGTGCCCCCGGCATGCCGCGGCACCACTCACACGGGAACGCACAAAATGCCGTACTAGAGAAAAAACAAATAAACAAGCAAACAAACAACCCAGTGTTAAAGCGATCTAGTTACTGTTACTTGTAATTCCGGAGCTTCAGTGCCCAATAAAAGCTGGCCGCTCCCTTTCTTTCTCCCATCACACCTGAGCATCGGTTTGCAAGGACCCGCTTTATTCCCTCTCTCCGCTTTCTACCCGGGGTTAACACTGTTCACACGGGCTTCGGCACCCGCTCCGCAGCTGCCTGCTCCCACGGGCTGCCGGCGCCCCGCTGCCCTCGGCACGCATGGCCGCCTGTTACCGTTAAGAACAAGACGGTCTTTTCTCGCAGCTCCGCGCCGCAGCGAGGCGGGGAGGGAGGCCGGGCTGCGGCCAGGGCGGCAGCCCCCGTCCCTGCCGCAGGCTGCCCGAGGAGGGGGAGCGGCCGCGCACCCCGCGCTGCCGCAGAGGCGGACACACGGCGGCCTTTTGTCTCCCGGCAGCCGCTGCCTCGCCCCGGCCGCCGGCGGCCGCTCCGCCGGCCCCGCTTCCCCGGCCTCGGGCCGCGCCGGGAGGCCCGTTCCGCACCCGCGGAGATGCGGTGGGGGGGCTTCGGGAGGCGGCGGGCTGCGGGGGGGAGGTGTGAGGATTGGGGGGGGGAGGGGTGCGTGTATGTGTGTGTGTCGGGCCGTACCGGGCCCCCGCGGCCCCAGCCCGCCTGCGCGGCGCGCGGCGGCGGAGCCCCCTGCTGGCCGCGGGCGGCGCTGCAGCCCGCGCAGGTGGGCGGGGTCCGGGCCCCGCCCCGCCCCGCCCCGCCCGGGAGCCCCGCGGCGGCCGTGGGGCAGCGTCCCCGTCCCCGTTCCCGTTCCCGTCCCCGTCCCCGTCCCCGTCCCCGTCCCCGTCCCGCCTCCGCCCGCGTCCCTCCTGCCCGCCCGCCCCGGCACAAGGAACTTCCACGTTCAACGTTACCTGGAGCCGCTCCAGCTCTGCTCCTACGCCGGCACTTGAGAGCGCGGAAGGGTTACCTGGAAATGCCACAGAACGTCTCAAGTGCTGGGCTGGTGGGGTAATGGGGGAATTGAAGAGATTCTCTGAGCGGAGGAACCTAAAAACCAAAATATCCATGATGCAACTTGAGATACATTGTGGCTGCCTACTTCTTTCTCCAGAGTATCACCAAGACATTCTAGCTTGGTGATGTTCTGGCTGTTACCTGGGAACATTGGACTTGTCTCACCTGAGAGTCCAGCTCTCTGGTTATCTCAGGCATGACACCCAGTTCATAAACTGATTGAGATCCATTTAAGAAGCACTTACTTTCTCTGGCTCTACTATTCCCCTTGGAAAGCTGTTCCAGAATCTCATAACTCGGCTTCTTAAGACTTCTAGCCTGCGTTTATTAGGGGCCCGTTTATATCCATTTGTTCAGATGCCAATTTTGTCCTTGAACTTAATTACTTCTGATATTTACTCCCCTCACAGTGTACTAATATTCCTTCTCATAATTTCTTTTGTTTAAATCAAGCTTTTTGGTTTTGTCTCATAAGATAGAATCTTCATTTCCCTGATTATCCCCATATCCTAGCAAGTTATGAAAACTGGGTCGTGACCAACACCCAGAAACTACGGTTTTCAAAAGGGTTTATTATTCTATCCATTTTCAGTTTAACCAAGACACAAGTAGGGATAATGATTAGCATAAGGTCAGACAAACCACAATTCTCCTGACTTCCAGTTCTTTCGCAATCTATCAGGGACATGAGTTCTGAAAGGCTTGTGGTTTATAACTTGGCATTACATCAATGCACATTTATATACCTATATATCATCTTCTGGAGGGGAAGAACGGCCTTGTAGTTAAGAGGGTACATTAGAAATCTGGAGGTTTTACTTTGAATGCCAGGTCTGCCATAGGGAACAGAAGTAACTTTGGTGAATCCTCTAGTCTTTTGCCACATTTCACCAATTTTAAAACAGGGACAGTAATACTCCTGTTCTCACCTCTTTTTCCTTCCCATATGCCTACTTACATCACATGCTTTCAGACCAAGTGTCTCCTTTCTGGGTACTCCCAGTGCCTGGCACTCTGAAGACCAAATATGTCCATGATTCTTAAGCTGGTGGTTAGAAAGAGCCCCTATTCTTATGAAGTCTACTTTATGGGTCTATCCTAAAAGCTGGTAGTCAGTAAGCACAGTAGAAACTGGAATTCCTGAGGCCTGCAGCCCATTGATTACATTAAAGACGTTCTCTGTTACTAAACCAAACCCAGAGGCCAGCAGTAAAGTCAGAGACGTGTAACTGCAAAGCTGCACCCTGACTTCCAGTTTTCAAGTTTTTGCCTGGTTGAAGACCAGGTAGAAGCTTTATTATTGTTATTACATATTCTTTAAACACGTGTGCAATTCAACACATCTTCTTCGCCAGTTTTCACTTCAGATGGCAATTTTTTGAACTGCTAATACAGCACAGAAACTGGACTAAAACTGGAAGCCCTCACAGCCCCATAGCTGGAGTGGTCCTGGTAATAATAAATACTATCACTGTCCTTCCCCAGAAATCCATGTGTGGAAGATTGAGACTGAGTACAGAAATAGAGAGCACTCTGTTGAGCTGAGGTGAAGCAATGATATTTATGGGAGTAATTATCACAGAGAAAAACTGGAAAAATATGATTACAGCAAATTGTAACTCTCTCAGATGTGTTTTTCGTTGTTGGAAATAGCTCAGCTGAGACTGAACCAATATGAACAACAGACTGGGAGTGTCAGACACTGATTCTCTGGAGGCTGATACCATCAGACCCTCTGAGCAGAACAGCATCCAGCTTCAGCATATTAGAGAGCTGGGTGTCAGCAGCCTGCACCTCTTCCCAGACATTCTTCTGTCATGAAAAC